CAGTCTCAGTATAAATTCACGCCTATGCATACCTTTTGTTACAATGACGCTCGAGTGCGTAGAGGGGATGTGACCTGAATCCAGCGATGGTGGGCCATCCTTTCTTTTGGTGTCCTAATGCCATGACCGCGTTTTCCTCTTGGTCTGCCTATGAACATACAAATACAATCTCAATGGGGTGTAAATACATTCAGATGAAATGTCAATAAAGTACATATACGGGTGATAGGGCAATAGGGTATATACACGGGTGAAATGTCAATAAGATCCAGACGTGCTAGTACAACATAAATGAGACAGCTACGTCTGCGATACAAAGGCAATGCAACAACATGAACATTGACAGCGCGTGCGATCAATTAGACACCCTCGTGTAGCGTAACGGTGACAACGTTTAAACACTGTGCACACATACCATAGCCATCTACATTATACAAAGGCATTAGAAGGCAATGCACATACATATAAAAGAATGTTCGTGTGTAGAGCCTACTAAATTATACAAAGAAGACTATGCATTACAAGGCTATGCATATACATCTAAAAGAATGTTCGTGTGTAGTGATGATATAGACGGTTACGCAGGTATGGTACTGATCTGTTAACAGTTACAGAGGGAGGTACTGATGTGAACCTCGTGTAGTGTACACAACCTCTAATTTGCAGATGCAGATCACATTTTGTTCCAGGGTTTTGGGTGCTAGGGTTAGATAACCCCTGGTCGATCCTTCTAGTATGTGCATATCACATGCGTCTATATCTACAGATGAAGAATGTGGATTTATATTCCTGCTCTTAAAAATGACTGTTAATTCATATACACACACGTGTGGTACATGCACATATATATATATAAATTGCAAATTCCTATACATACGTGTGATACGTGTGCATACATAACGTATATAAGAATGCAACGACACGTTTGATACGCTCACATATATATTCGGTGACTGCGAATTCATATACAAACATGTGTGATACATGTCCATGCATAAACGTATATATAAATGTAACGATACATACGCGTGTGATGCACGTACATACGCATTCGTATACATAACTACAACGAATACGTATATACAACTACACCGCATACGTATACATAACCACAAAGCGATACACACACACGTGTGATGCACATGCACACACATACGCATACACAGCTAACCACTCACCCTTGCATTCTTGGGCAAATACGGTCCCAGTACATAGCCACTCCACAGACTCTCCGGTAGGCGCAGCCGTTGTGTCTCGGTGAGCCATTTCTCTGCATACCGTTCTGTAACGTCCTTCACCTCCCCACTCTCATCCACCCCCAGCACATACACCACCGGTTGGTGCAGTCGCGAGGTAGGTATGGGTTCTATATTTAGAACAATCGGGTTGACCGTGGTCCACAGGCGCTTGTTGCGTGCGTTGGAATTGCGTACGTAGACCTCCACCCACGTGTCTATGGACGGCTGTGTGTGTGGACGTGGTAACGGATGGTTGGTATTACCACTGACAATGATTGCGTATGTACACCTACTGTGTGTGTGCACGTGGTAACGGATGGTTGGTATTGAGCACTACAGTGTGTTGGTATTACCACTGACAAAATTGCGTATGTACACCTACTGTGTGTGTGGACGTGGCAACGGATGGTTCG